GGCGCGAGGCCGAACAATTATGCGGGCAGTCGAGAGAAGGCGCGGCTCGGGGGGGGCGCTCCTCAGGTCAGGCCTCGCGGATAAACTCGGTGAAGCCGAGCTTCCTGGCGAGGGCCGTCGCCTCCCTCCTGCGCCGCTTCGTGCGCGTTGCAAACTGCTCCAGCTGCTTTCGCAGGCCCTCCGGCGGTCCTGCCAGGAAGAACTCGATGCGCGGCGCCCGCATGAGCAGGAGGTCCTCGTGGCGCGTGGCGCGCGAGAGCAGCACATAGAGCTCCAGCCACCAGTCGTCGTCCTCCTTCTTGCCGTTCCCGGCCTCGTGGCGGCCGCAGTCCAGGATCACACCTGGGCGACTCGGCCGAGGGGGCAGTGCGCCGGGCAGCCGACGGCCCAGGGCGAGAGTCCACAAGACCGAGATCTGGCCGCGGACTGCTCGCGCCCCGGAGGTCTGGCCGTCCCCGGAGCGCCGGTCCCCCGCCCCGTCGCCTTCGCGCATGGTGCGCCCCTGGCACGCCACCGTGGTGATGACCCTGCCGTGCGAGAACGGGAAGCCCGTCCGCGTGACCTTGGAGGTGCGGAAGGTGAACGGTTCCGACGTGCGGGGCTCGAAACGTGTGAGGGGTGTGCCAAAAAGGGGCGGTGGCGCCATGCGAGCTGCGCCACTTGGACCTCAGGTGGAGCTCCCTGAGGGGCCACGAAATCTGTGAGGGGTGTGCCAAAATGGGGCGGTGGCGCCTTGCGAGCTGCGCCACTTCGACCGTGAATGGAGCTCCCTATGGGGCCACGAAACGTGTGAGGGGTGTGCCAAAAAGGGACGGTGGCGCCATGCGAGCTGCGCCACGTGGACCTTAGGTGGAGCTCCCTATGGGGCCACGAAACGTGTGAGGGGTGTGCCAAAAGGAGCTCCCTGAGGGGCCACGAAATCTGTGAGGGGTGTGCCAAAATGGGGCGGTGGCGCCATGCGAGCTGCGCCACTTGGACCTCAGGTGGAGCTCCCTGAGGGGCCACGAAACGTGTGAGGGGTGTGCCAAAATGGGGCGGTGGCGCCATGCGAGCTGCGCCACTTGGACCGTAAATGGAGCTCCCTATGGGGCCACGAAACGTGTGAGGGGTGTGCCAAAATGGGCGTGCGGGACGCATGCGGGCACACCCACTGGGACCTTCGGTGGAGCTCCGTATGGGGCCACGAAACGTGCGATGATGGCGACGAGGACAACGATGATGGTGATGACGACGATGATGGTGATGATGACGATGATGGTTATGATGGCGGCCATGATGTTGATGCTGATGACGATGATGATGATAATGATGATGATAATGATGATGATGACGATGATGATGATGACGATGAGGATGATAGGAGGGGAGAGGAGGCGGAGGAGGAGAGGAGGAAGGAGACGCGGGGCACCGTCTCTTCAAAACGAGGACCCAACACCACAGGATGGTTGGGAATCATGACCTCTGGCGTCTGGGAACCCAGACCCCCGACGTCATGATTCTTTCATGACGTCCAACCCCAGAGGTTTCGACCTATTCCTCGGGACCTGTTTTTCATCCCGAATCGTTTTTTGACGGTCCCGAGGCCCAGTAATGGCCACCCCTCCCGTCGTGATTTTTTCATGGCTCGAGGGGGTCTTGGAATACATCAACAAAAACTATGGCGGCGCGCCAGAAGAACGGCTCGGGATAAGAAGCCGACCGCGCGGGGAAGAGGTCCGGGGATCCTCCGGGGTCCGCATTGCAGAGAGCCTGTTTTTGTTTTTTGAATAGACTCTGGCAAGTTGACTTGCATGGAGGGGGGGAAGCTGAACCTGAAGCAGGCCGCAGACGACTCGACGTGTGCGGAAATCACGCAAGTCGAAAGGGGCACTTGCACGCTCGTGTTCGATTGAAGAGGGTCGAGGGAGGGGGGGGGGGGGGCGGGGGCGAACGCCATGCAAGCAAACTTGCCTGAATCTAAAGGAAAGCAGGCTCAAAAGCCAAGACGTCGAAATCTGGGCACCACCCGCGCGAGGCGCCACCGGGAGGCTCCTCCGGGCGGTGTGGGCCCCTTCCCCCCCCCCCTCTCGCTCAAGACATCCCCCAATGATCCCCAGCTCGGGGAGGCACCACGGGCCTCCTCGCGAGAGGCGCCCCCGACCCCCCCCCGTAGCCCAGACTCCCGACGTCGCGATTTTTTCCTGGCGTCGACCCCAAAGGTCTAGACTTAGGTTGGGCGTGTCCCCCTACAGGCAGATTGTGGAGGAAAGAAAAAACGTAGCACCCGGCAGTTGCGGATAAGAGAGAGGCGGCGGCGGGGACGTCGGCAGTCTGCGAGGCTTTGAAGAAGCCCTCCGCAGGCGCAACAAAAATTCAAGCTGTGCAACGTGCCCGCCGCAGGTGCATATTTTTTGTTAAAACAATGTAGGTGTGTCGCGGGTTGGGTCGCAGGGTGGGTTGGGTCGCAGGTGGGTCGCGGGTGGGTCGACGGTGGGTCGCGGGTGGGTCGCGGGCTGGGTCGCGGGTGGGTCGCGGGTGGGTCGCGGGTGGGTCGCGGGTGGGTCGCGAGCGGGTCGCGGGGTGGGTCGCGGACGGGTCGCGGTTGGGTCGCGGGGTGTGTCGCGGGTGGGTCGCGAGGTGTGTCGCGGAATGAATGACCGTTCGGCCCCCTCACTCTGACCCAAAAATTACTTAAACATAAAACAGATGGTACAAAAAATCCCCATACTATTTTTTGGCTATCTTTGAACATCCCCCCTGTAGAGGGACAAACCCGACTTACGTGTAGACCCCTTCCCTGGGACCGGCTTTTCATCCTGGGTCGTTTTTGGACGGTCCCGAGGCTCGGTAAGGGCCCCCAGAAGCCGAAAACGGCGAAAAAACACCCGTCGTGTTTTTTTCGTGACTCGAGGCTCGAAGGGGTCTGGGAGTGGCGGTGGTACTGTCGCTTCCCCTCTCCTCGGGCCTCAGAATGTTCAGCAGAATGCCGACGAGGCTCTGAGCCTGGGGGGGAGGAGGAGGAGGAGGAGGAGGAGGAGGAGGGAGGAGGAGGAGGAGGAGGAGGAGGAGGAGGAGGAGGAGGAGGAGGAGAGGAGGAGGATGAGGAGGAGGGAGGAGGAGGAGGCGGAGGCGGAGGAGGAGGGAGGAGGAAGGAGGAGGAGGAGGAGGAGGCGGAGGAGGAGGAGGAGGAGGTGGAGGAGGAGAAAGAGGAGGAGGAGCAGGAGGAGAGGGGAGGGAAACAAAGGGGGGGGAGGGGGGCACCTGGAGCGGCGGCGCGCCCCAGAGGGGGGCAGGCAGACGGGGGGGCGGGGCTCCCAGGCCCCCGACGTCGTGATCTCTATCCCGACGTCGACCCCCCGAGGTCTCTCGGGGATCTTCTGACCCGGGTCAATCCAGACCCGGGTCAGCAGGAAACCAAAAAAAAAAACTGCAATGCAGGACAAAAAAACTGCAGCGCAGGTTTTCGCAGACCAGGGTCAGCCAGTAGGCGCGGCCGCCTCGCGGCCACAAGCGGCTCGCTAACCCGGGTCAGCCAGAGGGGGTCTTCGCCCGTTTGCATTGACCCCGTCTGAAGGCTCCCGAGTCTCGACCTGCTCCGAGGGACCGGCTTTTCCTCCCGAGTCTGAAGTCGGGCGCTTTTCCTCCCGAGTCTGAAGTCGGGCATGTCCCTCGGAGACGGACAGACCCCCCTTTAGCAAAACGTGGCTTTGTGAAAAAACGACCTGAGGCCCAAACCTGGCGGGCGCAAGCCTGGAAAATAACGGCCACGGCGCCCTCTCGAACCGAAAACAGACAATTCACTAATCGACGTGTCACTGTTGGGGGTTCTGTCCGCCCCCGAGTCCCCCTACAGGCGGATCTTGGACGAGGAATAAAGAATAGCCAACACATTTCCCCTAGGTGATCAAAAATTGTATAAAAATCGTCCCCAGACTATGTTCTGACAATTTGTCAATGCTCTTCCTGTAGAGGGACACGCCCGACTCGACCCAAACCGTTCTCGGACGGCCCCGAGGCCCGGCAAAGGCCCCCTGGAGGCCGCGAGGGGCGGAAAGCCTCCCGCCGCGACCTCGATCCTCACTCGAAGGGCGAGCGCCTCCCCTCCCCGCGGCCTCACGGAGGGCCCCTCTCCGAGTGGCCGGGGCGGCCTTCCTGCGAGGCCCCCCTCCTCCGCCTCCTCCTCCTCCGCCTCCTCCTCCTCCTCCTCATCCTCCTCCTCCTCCTCCTCCTCCTCCCCCGCCCCTCCCTCGCGCGCTCAACTAATTATCTCCTCCCTCGGCGCGCCGAGGAGGACAGGAAGGGGCCCCCAGGGGCACACGGCAGGGAGCAGGCACGGCTCCCAGGCTTCTCCACAGGCTCCCAGGCAGGATCGCGTCGTGGAAAGAAGCGGGGCGGCAATTGTGAAGGGCCCCCAGGACACACAAATAAATACACACAAATAAAAAGATTCCTTATATTTTTCTCATATTTTTGGGGTTTTTGTCTTCCCCCCACTTCCTATATTTTTGCATATTTTCCTGGGGGTCGACGATGAATTATGTCTGTGTGTTTTTTCCCCTCCTGAAATTGTTTCGCCACGTTCGGCCCCCGGGGGCCCTCGCCGGGCCCTCGCCGGGCCCCGAGGGCCGTCAACAAAACGACGCAGGCTGAGAAGCTGGCCCCAGGGAAGGGGTCGGGACTTCTGGGGACGCCGTCCTGCAAAAATCAGGACGTCGCGTGTCTGGGCTCCCAAGTATTTTTTGGGCTGTCGTCCCCCCCCCTTCCCACAGATTCCTATCTCTCCCTGGGGATCGAAGAGGATTGTGTCTGCGTGATTGTGGCCAATCCTGAGACGATTGGAAGAAGAAAGACCGACCCAAACACAAAATTTTCGGAGGTGCGTGCGGACCCTCGCGGTGCCTCAAGCGCCGCCCCTGGCGCGCTCCGCGCGCCACGGATGTGAGCCCAGCGCCGATCCAAGTAATCCGCGCGGACCTCCGAAAATTCATGGTTGTACTGATCTTCTTCGATTCTTCGAGAACCATAATCAAGCACGTGTAACCGTACAGCAGAGGCAGCCTGTACGAGTCCCGCAGGCCGAAGCCGTCCGCGCCCCCGCAAGCGTCTATCCGGACGCCCAGATACGTGGAGAGGAACAAGTCGGACGCCGGGTCCGCCAAAGGGAATGCCGCGGGCAGCCACCCGAGGTACCTGGGCAAACCAAGAGGTTCGGCGACTCTAAACTGTGTGGTTTGCAAAGGGTGTGGTTTGCAACCTGCACCCTGGGAACATCCTGGGGGGCACCCTGAGGGGCGCGCGGGGACCTCGATAAAGCTCTCCCGCGCCCAGAGGAGGCCCGACGAGGACAGTGTCGTGCCCCCCAGGCTCCAACAGTGCCGATCGCAAACCACACACCGGCGTAACCATCGCCGAAAGGTACCGATACCGCCACTCCCTGGACCTCTCCCGGGGTGCCTTCTGACCGGGATCTCCAGGCGAACCCAGCGGGGGGGACGAGAGGGCCGCCCAGGGGGCCCAGAAAGAAGAAAACAACGAGGCGCGGGCAGGGGTATGGGTACAATTCCTGGCCATCGCTCGGACGTCCATTTCCTGTGCTTTTTTCGGCTTCGTGCGTGGTTTTTTCTCCAAATGATCAAGGCTGCTCCTCGATGGTCCTCGCCGAATGAAAAATGCACATGCCAGGTTTCCCTCCTCTGAGTACCAGGACTCCAGCGCTCCCGCCTCCAGTGCGACACGAGGCAGGAGCTGGTCGTAGACCGAGCTGCAGAACGCCGTGCCCAGCAACCCAGAGGCCACCTGCTGGCAGGAGGCGGCCGGGCTCTGAGAGTCGGGGGCGCGCGCAGACATGGATTCGCGAGCCATGGCTTTGGCGCGCGGTCGCCAACTCCATGGCTCGGGGGAGGTGCCCTCCCCCAGAATCGGTGCCGCAGCGTTCGGCGGCGGAAATCTGCGATTGCCCATGGGAACGGGACCCGTCGTGAATCCACGACCCCTTGATACATGTTTGCGACCGCCTGAATGAGGGGAGCGGGCCCTGGGCAGGACCACCCCAACCCAACCCGAAGACCCGAATTTCGGGCTTCGGGGGGGGGGGTGCGGGTTCCAGGTGTGTGTCTTCGCCATGTTCCTCGACCCCCTCCCCCACACTGGAATCAGGTCGGGCGTGTCCTCCTGCAGGCGGAGTGTGGGCGAAAGATAAAGAATAGCCGAAACAGAAAACAGAATCAAAAGATGCCCAAGCATAATCGAGCAATCGGCCCCATACTATTCTGAAACTATTTTTGATTGCTCCTCCTGTAGAGGCACACGCCCGACTTAACACTGGAAGTTGAAGAGGCCCTGGGGCGCACAATAAATAGACACAAGCAACAGGACTCCCCATCTAATCTTTTCCCATATGTTCTGGGCGTTTGTCTCCCCCCCAATTCCCATATTTTCCCATATTTCCGGGGGAATCGACGATGAGCTGTGTCTGTGTGTTTTTTCCCCTCCTGAGAAGTGGAGGGCAGCTTGAGGCCTTCGGGTTGGGCTGGGGTGGCTTGGTGGGTGGCGATCTCCGACCGTCCCGGAGCCCTGGGGCGGGCCGCGGGAAGCCGCGAGCAGCGAGAAGCCTCAGGGTCCGTCTCCGGCAAGATCGGGCGGGTGGCAATCCCTGACTCCGGATCCGCCCTACTTTGGGGAAATTCGTAAGTAAGGCTTGGAATGTCCGCCTTACTTTTCAAGCCCCGCTGATGCCAATTTCCGCCCTACTCTTCTGTTGCTGTTTCTGTGGATTTCCGCCCTATTTTATGCTGGGTGCAACAATTTCCGCCCTACTTGTTCGGCCTCTTATAGGTGGATTTCCGACGCAATTTTAAGTTGGAAAACAAGCCAAAGTAGGGCGGATCCGGAGTCAGGGATGGGGGACCGTACATTTCAGCAGGGACCGACCGTCCCGACACTCCTATAGCCATACCACGAAATGCTCTTAGAACCCACAAATGCTCTAAGAACAAAAGCAATGTTCTTAGAACATAAACCCGACGTGATAAAACAAGACAGTCCCACCCAGAAATGTTCTAAGAACATTTCGTGGGAACCACAAAAGGTTCTTAGAACATTGTTTGGCAGGGCTATAGGCACGCCAGGACGCTTCGCCACTGCTTGATACATGGACAAACGCGCGATGACGGTCCAGCGGGACAGGCCCTAGGAGGGCGGCCCAGGGGGGCTGGAGCCCTCGGTAGTCGGCCTGGGACTGGCGGTCGATGTGGCTGAAAGTGGTGTGAGAAACGTCGAATGTTTGGACGTCTGGTGTATTCTGGAGTCCAATGGGTGGAGGTGAGATTGATAGGTCGGATGGATGGGCGTGGAAGTGGAAAAGTCGGATGCTGGAGGTCGAACCCTGTGGCCCAAGACGCCCCCAGACCCCCCGAAATTGATGTTGATGGCGTGGCGACGGGGGGGGGGCGTGAGTGGGCAAAAATATGCAAACCCCAGAGCACCGCCCTTACTGCGATCAACATCGATGTCGGGGGCGCGGGGGTGATTTAGCATCTCCCTCGAATGTGTACGGGTTCGAATATATATATATATATATATATATATATATACATATCGAATATACATATATATATATATATATATATATATATATATTGTCTATCTGCTGGACCTCCTACACTTAGGTCGGGCATGCCCTCCTGGACGAAACATCTGAAATACGCCAGAAATCCGCCGCCCCCCTCCAGGGGGCGCGAGGCTGCGCAGGTGTGTGCGGTCTGCTGTCACGTGGTATGTGTTGTGATTTGCTGTTTGGCCTTTTGTCTCTCCAGTCCTGCTTCCTGCCTCCTGTTTACTGCCTGCTAAGGGGCCCCGCCGCGCCACCAAACAGCCAACGGGGGGGGGAACCTCAAATCCAGGCTGCCCCAGGCCACCCCAGGATTCTCATGCTGACGCCTCCGCGCGGCCAGAACGGCCCGAGACGCCTCCAAGATTACCCGACGAGGCTCCGAAGAGAGCCTCGGGAGGCCAAGGCGGCCCAAGATGGCCCCAAGATGTCCCACGATGGCACCAAGACGGCCCAAGATGCTCCCAAGGCGGCCCAAGAGACCTCCGAACGGACTCCCAAGAGGGCCCCACGAAGCAAAAGCCAACGATTTTCCTAACGTGTTTGAAGTTTTTGTTTGGCCTTCTCGCCTTTTCTGCTGTCCGACGGTTCCGAAGATCGCCCCACGACGGCCCCAGAGGCTCCCATGACGGCCCAAAAGGCCTCCAAGACGGCCCCAAGACGGCCGAAGAGGGCCCCAAGCCGGTCCAAGAGGCGCCGCAGATGGCCCAGGAGGGCCCGCAGACGGTCCCAAAGGAGGCCCAAGGAGTCGAAAACATGCTGGTAAGCTTAGGTATGTGTTACGCTTCAAGCGCTGCCATATCCCAGGCTTTGGCTCATATCGCATGAGCAAGAGAGCGAGACGAAGCATGGGATCTGGAGTAAAGGATAGAAGGGGCATCTTCAATGGAAAAGGTATTTTCCGATCTCAGATACAAGTCGTGCGCCTCGGTGAGGCACAGTCATATATTTGGCCGGGCCCGGCTTGAGCCAGACACGGCAGCGGTACATGCTCGATTTATACCTCGCCTTTAACCTTCTCCGTTTAAAGTCGGAGGGGGAGGAGACGAGCAGGCACCGCACTTCTACATTACGCGGAAAAACAGTGCTAAGCAGCAGCGGCTGCCTACAAGGAAAGGGCGCGCGAGTAGCCTCGCTACCGGCGAGTTTCCTCGCTACTAGAGCGCACCTGCCTGCGGGTTTCCCCGCTGGCTCGGGAGGCAGGGCCGTCCTGAGACGACCTGCCCGCCCTATACGGTGTATGTTTCTTCAGCTCGTGCTTGAAGGATTGCTGGCCGGCCATACTTGTAGGAGCAACGCGCGGTCAATACTACCTTTGGTATGACCATCGGCAGTCATATCCCGCGTGTCACACCATTGAACGCTTTCAACGATTCCGCGCTCCATCATCTGGCGGATCCAGCTAATGTGCCCAAGCAGAGTACATTCTGTGGGCTTCTACAGATCTTTGCTAGACAAAGACTTGAAGACAGACTCGGCATCAATAGTCAGAGTGACTTTGATACATAGACCACCCATTTCCAATATGTTCTTTAACTGTGTGGGGGTCAATGGTCCCGAGAGTAGCTCGTGGAGCGTTACAATGGTCGGGTAGCAGTCTTCCAAGTTGTGGGCTGCTGCCAGTGTTTCCGCAGAGTAGCTCGAACGCACCTGCAGTCGATGAGACTTGCAGTATGCGTCCACCAGGTGCACGACGGGTTTCCCCGCTTGCGTGTGGCCACGCCTCAGCAGGTTAGCCACGCGGATACCATAGCCTTTGACTTCGTCGTCTTCATCTCCATTGAGACGGCGATAGCCAGAATCGCTATGCAGGTCAACTTCTCCTGTTGGAGTCATAGCTTGATACACGATCTTCTTCGGACCTGCCTGTAGTTTCCTGGTAACCGCGTTTAGTCGTCGTACCTGGATGTTTGTCGGTTCCTGGATACGTTGTAGTGAGACAACATAGACCATTAGCCATACCTGCGTGATCAACGCATAGGCTAGAGCGCCACGAAGACTGACGAACATATCAGAAATCGTCTTTGTCGCTTTGCTCTCAGGATCAGCTCCTGTGAGTTCTGGATGTGTGATAGGACGAAGCTGTTTGATGTATTCGTCCTGATCGAGAGTGACGCTCCCATCATCGGTCTTGTTGTACCGAACGGCACAGTTGGTGTATGTGTGCTTGTTCAGTTTGCACTTCCCAAACGTATCTTCAACACACTTGACATACTTGTCAATAGCCTCTTCCTTCCCAGTCATATTGATGTAATCAACGTGCTTGGCTGTCAAGAGGTTTGGGCTCATCTCGAACTCTTCGTCGTATGAAGTAGGCTGTAGCCCAAAGCTCCTAGTGATGGACCTGAGCTTCAGCGAGAATGCCCTGGGAGCATCCTTCGTGCCCGTCCCCGGTTTCAGACACCGAAGACAATGCTTTGATTCGTCATATGACTCAAAGCCTGGCAGTGTGCGAAGGACAGCTGCTGACCCAGGAGGTAGCGTGAAGCACACCACACGCTCTTTCTCGCCCGTTGCCGCGGCGAGCTCGCTATAGGTCAGTCCCTTCAAGAAAGCCATGTTGATGTCCAGGGAAGCGATGATCCAAGCTTTGTTGCATGCAGCAGAACTTGCGAGCAGTCTCTGGCTTGACCTCCTTGCCGTGCCAGAGAAGGTTTCGACATCAAAGGCTTCAAGGTCCATGAAGCCACGGAGGACCAAGCGTAACCTGATCGTCCTTTCCATTTCGCCCTTTTCGTTCTTGACAAACTTCCATTTGTATACGTAGCGTGAAGTCATGATGTTGGACGCTTTGCTCAAGTCAGTCATCTGAAAGCATTTATTGTCAAGCCAAGTCTTCAATTCTGTGTAAAGGGCTTTGGAAACTTTGACCGGATTCGCTTGAATGTCGGCCTTCGTGAGTAGATCGTCTTCCTTGACGACCACGGCACGTTTGGAGGCAGCACTGACGTATACTCGCATGGTTGTGACGCTGCTGTCATCCAACAATCGGCGTTGCTGCTCGGACAGGACGACTTTTGACATGTCTGCTGTGAAGCAGAGCTCGATGTACTTCCCGTGCTCATCGGAGTCCAGATCATATTTACTGTCCGGATCCGTGGAGCATAAAGGAACGTAGTAAGAAGTGTCCATGTCGTATCCTGGCGGGTGACCCCGCTCCGGCAAGTGGCCTTGCACATCTTCACAGGTC